GTGGGGAGGTCCAGAGTTATAGATCAACAGATAGGGTGTTCAGGAGTTATAGATCAAAAAGTGGGGGTTCCGGAGTTATAGATCAACAGAATAGAGGGGGTCTAGAGTTATAGATCCAGTCTCTTACACAACTGTGATTGCACTTTTATGGGTGTCTATTATTATTATTATTATTAATTCGTTTACCCACTTTCTTTGTAAATGCCAGCATTAGTCAATTCTCGTCATCTTGTTCGAAATAAATATAAAATGGTTCTAATAAAATTAACTGATATTTTTTTTTATTCTACTACATTGATTTGCTCGGACTGATATTATCATCTTGCTCGTTATCGTCGTAACGAGTCGGTCGTTGAGCTCTACGGCCTTCTTCAAGTGCCGGTTGTAGTTTATAACGTTTCGTAAGCCAATTTGGTCATAGAGACAGAGAACTTTACCTACAATGTCGATTGTTTGTTTTTCAGTTGAACTAGTGGCGGATGTTATTTTTTTTTTTGTAGTTTTAAGAATAACGTTCTTTTTTTCCTCCTAATTAATTCCAGATTTATAGACCAACAGAGGGGGGGGGTCCAGAGTTATAGATCAACAGGAGGTGGGAAGTCCGGAGATATAGATCCAGCGTCGGTTCTCGTACAATTTGATGAAATGCTCCATAACTTTCTGATCAAAGTCTTCTTCACCATATTGCGGGTAGTATGTACATTGGTGTTTGAATTAGAAAACACGACGTGTCCGGGAATGTTTATCCAGTAACAAAAATGACGGACTCGGTATGTGTGAGTCTGGATGATAAAATATAAATAAACAACTAAAACCAATATACAAACAAACGGTAATGTATTATTAAAAATACAAAATACATTGGTGCAAGCGACAAAGACAATGTTATTGTATGTATGCGACAAAACAATGAACATACATGAAAATATTCAAAGACTAATTGTTCGTGTAAAATGTGTGTAGAAGTCCTAGAAAAAATGAATTAAAATGAAATTGTGTATGTATGTGTGAGTGTTAGTGTGAGTGTGTGCGTTTCCCAATGGGGAACGCTATAAAAATTTTGCTTTCCTACCAACTCGAAGATCTTGTGCCAGACAAAAAAACTTAGTTGGTAGAAACGTGACTTTCAAAATGGGTGCAACTTAAGAAACAAGATGACCACTGCGTAAAATTTTAAGGATCATCACATTTATTTACAAGTTATATATTCGAAAAATACAAAATAAGGGTTGCACAAAAATTTACGTTTGTACGCCTCTTTGGGTAAGATTACACTTTCCTGGGGTAACAAAAAAGAAAGATTACCCACAAACAAGAAAAATAATATTTTACAATTAGTTTGATAAGAAATGGAATCATATACAAAAATTAATCTCTTCAAAAATGGAAATAAAAACTTGGAAAAACTTGGAGAAAGGAATAACAAAATGACACAAGACAAAATCTCTTTCAAATAGCACCCACCTCTGCTCTTAACAGTATATACAAGCATGTCGTCTCAGCTCGAAGGAGTTTTTTTTTGTGTGGTTTCAACCTGTTTTCTCCAGGGTTACTGTCACAAGTTCACTTGTATTTTTTGTGTGAAATTTACTGGTGTAGGAATCTGCCTTGTATCTGTCATGTTAGATATACGACCTACGGCTGGACCGTTCTTAGTAAGTGCTATTCTGTCTGTTCTCATCAACGATACATTCTTGTCCCTTGTCTGGTCCTATATTCACACATCTGCTCCAGCCCTCTGCTCTACGGTGCTGATAGGAGTCGTTTTTATTGAAAAAGTGACCGTGATATAGGCTCCAGCCAAAAAACTTGATACTCATTGGCTAATATATATATATATATATATATATATATATATATATATATATATAAACTTTTCCAAGTATTCAAAAAAAATAAATCCAGGACACTTCAAACAATTTTGGCGGTTCAGCGCTTGGGCCGAAAAAAAAAAAAACAAAAAAAAAAAAAAAATGCACAAAATTTAACACACAAACCGTCTGGCCTTCTGAAGAATATATTTTTTCTTAAAATGTGCATTAAAACAATCTGCACGATTATGCATAGACTTCTAACATGTTTTACAAATAATAAAAATAAAAATTTTATAACCTACATTTTTGATCTACATCTTACCGTCTATGAGTGAAATAGGAAAAAGAGAATTGTAGCGGGTGATACATATATTTGACTTTGGCTAGGAAAGGCGGGATTAAGGACAATGCGTGGACGCAATGCAATTTATATTTGACGTAAAATAGCACATAGTATAAAATACAAGACAGAACGTAATGATTCAAAAGCAAAACATAACAATTGAATTTATTAGTGTTTGGTGTACATGGATATAAGCTGAAGGTTTGATAGAGTTATATCTCTTAGATTTGGAAATATTTGTACCTGAGCTCCTAAAGATGAAGTAATTATTAAACTGTAGTTTAGCATGTTAGGAATTGTGGATTGGTAAGAGTTCAGAAGAGATTTTAGAGTTCGTACTTGCGTGAAATGGTAATGTTCTTTAACGTCTGACCGCAAGGTTAAGACGAGAGCTCTTGAAGATTACATCTTGGCAGCAAGGAGAGAGATGAATGAAAAAACGAAGAGAACACGAGGGAGCTTATTCGTGTTTTGTTTATATATGGCTGTGTATCACGTGAGAGGCTAGGAAGCTTATGCGCGGGAAAACAGATTTGTCGCGTGCAGGCGGTTTGATTGGTCAGAACTGACCAATCAGCGAGCTAGTTTTGAGTAGATTAACCAATGAATGCTTGTCGCATGATTTCTATATACTGTGTGTATGTAATGGTGGTGGTGTGATACTACAGAATGATAGAAGATATTAGTGTATTTACAGTTTCAGAAAGCGTCCTCTAGTGACGGTTTTTCTCTCTCTCTCGTCAGGAAGGACAGGCTGTTCCACTCCACTCTAACCACCAATGAACTTATCAAGACGACTGCCTGCTACAATGAAGGAGTCTAGCTCTCTCTCTGTTCCAATGTACCTCGAGCTAGTAACTATGACTCACAAGAAGGACAGAATTTGTATTTACAAAAAAGGAAATAAAACTTTCAAAACAACGTTCGAATGTAAAATTATAGGAGTAGTCCGATTCAGACTCCTATCAGGTCTTTTGAACAGGAGTAGAGGTTTATCCCTTGTTTTCTGTTTAGGATTGGGTTTCTTGTTCCTTCTAAAGTCGTTTTCATTCTCATTCGTGAATTGATTAAAACAAAAATAAATAAATAAATAAAAGAAACATTCTGTGCCAATAAAGAGTTCAGGTCGAAATTCTCAAGTGGTTAACATCAGAAGAAAGCCGAAAAGCTTTGAAAATAACCAAAATGACGATACTAGTCATAGAAATAAAAACTTTTTTGTTAGCTAGGTATCACCAAAATGGTTGCATTTTTCCCAAAGTGAAAGCAAAAAAAAATCGTTGACCCTCGTTTTAAGAATTTGTTAAAAATGAAGGAATTATTCGATTTAAATGAAATTTTCAGTAGTTATTCATTAGGTTATTTTAATAGAAAACTTTGTGGAAATATTATTACAGAGGGGGGAGTTTTCACTTCCGTTTTCGATATCTCGCGTGTATTTTTTAAGTAAGGATTGTCCGCGGAATTTCTTTTTACAGTCATATTAAAGAAAGATCCGTGGAGATGTTATTTCAGTAAAAATAATATTATACAATGTAACAATATCAAATGTCAATGTACTAAAAATTCGTCCCGAATATTCGCAAAGACAATTCAATAACCACCACGCGCACACCACCCCAATTCTGGCAGCAGCTGCTTGCATAATTTAAAAACGTTATTTTCTTTCAAATTGGACAGAAAAAAATTACACTTAATACTTATTTTTAAAAAATTACTTCTAATTTGTCAGTGCGATTTCGAAATTCATCCCATTGCTCTGCGTAACAAGAGATTTTTTTTCTTTCTTTCATTTTTAAGTAAGTAAAGATATGTTCGAAGAATCGAAAAATGTAAACTTTAATGCTTTTTTTAAAATATTTAATTTTGTTTTCATTTTAGCAACTGCTAACTTATTTTCGGTATGGATGTTCAAAAAGGAAATAATTCTAAATTACTTCTTTTGATTACACTTTCATAACAGGAGAATAATATAATATACAATAGTTTAGTAAATCTTAAATTCAAAATAATTAAGAAAAAGAACTTATTGGATGCAAATGAATATTTTATGACAGCAAAAAGATTAGAAAAAATAGAAAAAAGCAATGAATTAAACTCAAAAGTATCATTTCACTTATTTTTAATTAAATTCTTTTTTTAATACGTCTAATGTAATATAAAAAATAAAGATATTCATTCAACTAAGTTTAACAAACTGTTATAAATTAAACAATTATATTATTAAACTATTGATTACATAAGATTAATGATAATTTATCTTTGAACATAAATACCAATTTCTTGATTATTGTCCTGCTCGTGTTCCGTAATTCTTAAATTTTTCGCGCGCTTTTTTAAGTCAAGGGTAAAATTGTACAGTTTCTATTTTTAACCTACGACATCACAGATACCGTGCGTAAATAAACATTATTTTCATTATGTTTCAATTGAAAGAAAGCATTACTTTTACATAGTCTAGTTAATGAAACCATAATTTTACTAAATGACTTCAAAAAATATCTCTCGAACAAGTATTGGGTTTTTAAGAAATTTTTATTTGTTGTTTAGTTATTTTTCGTCTTTAAATGGCTATTCTCTATTGACGAATGAACGTACCAATGTTTTAAAAATACCTAAAAATATTTTTCTTTTAATACGGATTTGTATATAAAACTAAATTTAACTTTAAAGAAGACATTTTTATTAAATTATTTTAAATTAATTTTTTTTAGCTCGTCGGTGGCGGTTCCTTTAGTTACATTAACAAAGAACGATTATGCTTAGAAATTATTTCTTCGATGAAAAGGAATTAAGATGCTTAGAGTAATCTCCCTTGTTTCAAATTACTTCCCTTTACAATCATGGCGGCCTTAGGAAGGTTACGGGGTAAGTTTTTATATAAATCATTAATGAATAATCAGTTTTATGTAAAAAGCATAAACTTTTATGATATGTATAAACTTATTTCGAAATATTGGATAATGTTAAACATGTGTGAAGTTTGGTATGTTTTGTAACTTACTAGTATTCTCATGCTCTTCCATTTTCTGGCATGGACGAGAAAGAGTGACAATTTTTTTTTTGTCTCTTTTCGGTAACAATAGGGGATAGGTTAAAATTAATATTAGCTCAAGCACCCCACCCAGGGTACTATCTCTCTTTTGGGAGAGATCTGGGGTCATTATCCGCTGCCTGAGGCATCCCCAAAAGGGGAAGTGCCGCCGAGAGAGCTTAATCAATTTTTCCATGATACTGCCGGTAAACCGACCTCGACCTTGTTTCACACTCGGTAGCGACGTTAGCGCATTAAAAAATCCCTTTTTATTTTCTTTTTCTATTCAATTTTCTTTAGGAGACTATTTTATTGTTTTATTATAGTATTTTTTTTTTTTTACTTTATAGTAAATATCTCCACTAATTCACTAAAGAATTAGTATACCATGATGAAAAAATACCTCAACTTAATAAAAACAAAGTTTTATCATTGACGAAAGAAAGACCAAAGTTTTTTTTTATTTTTTTATCCTTTTTAGAACGTTCGAAATTTTGTTTTTATTTTGTGTCAGCAGGGGTGGGAAAAATTAGTATAGGAAATTTTAGTGTTTTTTTTTTGGTTTTTTTTATAGGTGAAAAACACTTTAATTTGGAAATTCTTGCAAAAATCAAATTGTCAGATTTAAATGAAACTTTCAGATTCAAGAATAATTCACAAATGAATGAAACTATTTTAGAAATGTCTCCTTTTAGAAAATCTTGGTAAAATATTTTTTTTACATCTGCTATCTCCCGCTTTTAGTAAATTTCAAGAAATTAAATATTTTTTATTAGGTCTATACTACTCTTTTCAAATCATCAAAATATTGTTTAGTACTAGTTCATCATCAGTCACATCTTAAGATAGGTAACTATCATTGACCATCAAGCATATCTGTTTTTAAAAAAAAATATTAAATAATGGCACTATTATAGTTTTGCATCCCAACCCCCAAAGCTCCATATATTTTCTCTCCGTGCATTAAAATTTGCTTTGTGACATTTGAATTAAACGTTTGGAGACTAATCTTTTTTTTCAGTGAAGAAAATTGACACTAGTCATTAAAGATTTCTTTTCACTTTAATACTAATTCAAGAAACAATAATGTTAAACCCTAGGGCATAAATCCATAGCAATTTGATGCCAAAAATCATCTCATTTTGATACTCTGGATCTTTGGTTCTGTATTAACTGTGAAATAATCATCTCTGAGAAAATGAAATAAAAACAATAAATAAAATAATCATAATGAATAATAAAAAAAAGATATTACATTTTCCTATGATGTTAAAGGAACCATAAATACAATTACCCCCACTTGGTTTTGTCAAATGCTGTTAGGTGGCGCTGATTAATTCTATAAAAAGGCAAACATTTTCCTGCCTCCCTTCTTTCTCCTTTTTGCTCCAAGATATACAACCATGTGGTAATTATGTTCCCACTGGAGAATGTTAGTTTCCCCAGTCCACTGACAACTGAACTCCGTTTTCACTTTCTAATGCTTGGCACTTGCACGTGTCTTCCAAAACCTTAACCTATGAAGTAAGTCAAGTTTCTTCTTTGGTTGTTCCAACTTGACGCAAGGCTGACTTGAGCTCAGCCATTAATACAATATTTATACTTACCCTAACTCCTGAGCAAAAAAAATGGACAGACACAATTACTACAGTTTATATATAGCAAAAGAATAAACAGTCTGTAGTAGAAACCAAAGTTTTTGTATGCTGCTTTGTTTATACATGAACATGCACCCACATAAAATACACACAAATGTGCATCCTTTTAAATTCGATCTATGTGTTGCTTTAATTTTTCTTTTATTTAAAAAAAATGTCTTATTTTTCTTTTCTTTTAAATTATTACATCATGCTGTTTTACACGGTGTAATCAACTTATCAAACTTATCTACAGTTACCTATATACCTATTTGGTTTTGGCTTATAGTTGTACACCCTTAACCTCAAAGCAACATATATTTACTTCTTGTGCATCAAGATTTGTGTTATGACATTTAAACTAACCTTTATCACTCTGTATGTGACTTCATTTGCTATACAAAATGTTTATCCTGCCACCGAAGGTGACTCTGATCTCTGAACAATAATGTGTTTGAATTTCATAGTTGTGTTATCATATTCTGCTATGGAAACAGAAAACAATTTGAGTGAAATTAACAATAAGAATAATGCTATTGAGAGGCCTCGAAAAAAATGAAGTGGTAAGGGAAGTAATACAGTTGTGGTATGAATAAGACCCCTCCCCTCGGTAAGACAAATGAACTAGGTAAGATGCCATAAATAAAGTGAGTCAGGAGAAGTCCATTGGAGTCAGTCGAGGAAAGAATTGATGACATCATGGCGAGTAGCCTAAGCAAGACATAATATTATAATTGCTAGGAGTGAGTTTTAACTGTGACGATGAGGAATCAAAACTCATACAGAGTAGGAAAAAGTACTTTTTTGCTTTGGCACACATGACAACAGGAATGACAAGAAATTAGAACCATGTTGGTTTAATTTTTTTCTTTGGTGTGTGTAAAAAAAGAAGAAAAGAGAAAGAGAAAAAACCCCAGATATTCTTTAAATTTGGAAGAAGTATTAGCCGAAGTGGTAAAAATACAACAGCAAAAACAACAACAACAGCAGCAGTTGTTGGAACTCCAGAAACAACAACAAAATTTAATTGAAATAATATGGAAGAAAACAAAAAAATTTTCAAGTTCTTTCACTCTTGAAACTGTGGCAAATGCTATAACTGAATTCACATACAATTCAGATGATAGAATTACATTTTCTGCTTATTTTAGAAAATACTAGCAAATTTTTAGAGAAGAATGCAACAACTGGGAAAAAATGAAAAAAAAACAAGACTTTTGTTGTGAAAGTGCTGGTAGAACATGAAAAATAATGCAATTTTGTACTACCAAAAAAACGAAAAATTTGCTTTGGAAAAACAGTAAATATTCTGACTAAAACTTTTAGCAAGAAAATTTTGTTATTCAATACTCATTGGAAGTGTATTAATCTGACAAAAAACGACGGCAAAGATTTTGTTAAATATACTGAAATTGTTAACAAGGATTTTGAAAGATTCAAATTAAATGAATTGACTCTGGATTTGTTTATAGGGATAATTTTCATTTAAGAGTTAATAGCAAAAAAAATGCAGAAATACATGCTAGAATTCTAGCAAAACTTGAATAGAATCAAAAACTAATGGTACAAGAAATATTGGATGAATGTCAGTGACATGTGATCCAAAAGAAATTGAAGAAAAAGAATGTGCATTCATACAAGCTAAAGAAAAATATGGGAAAAGAAAAATTAAGTCAGTGTTTAAGTTGTTACCAGTTCAAAAAAGAATAAGAATGGATAACAAAAAAGACACAAAAGTTTTCAAAATTGGTGAAAAATTGTTTTTCAGAGTATATAAAAATGGAAAAGAAATGAGGGAAGACAGTGTAATAAGGTCATGAATTGGAAAAATGATATATGATAAAAGGAAAAATAATGGTAACACAAAAGGCATTGGAATCAGTTAAAGAAAAGGTTTAATGAAAAAAGGTCCACAAGAAAGGAAGAACCTATACAAGTAGTATAGTGATTTTCCAAGCGTAGCTTAGATGTGGCACAAGGCCGAATGTATGGGGCACCCAGTGAGGATCAAACTCACTACTTGGTCGTAATTGTTCTAGCCAAACAAGCTTCCTAACCATTACGTCACACCAAGGTGCCCCTATACAAGTAGTATATGATACTGTGCCAAAACCCCAAGAATTTGTTGAACGTACAAGTATGATTAACAGAAAAAGAAACTTATGAAAAAACTAGAGCTTGACCCAAAATGGAAGGGATACAAAATTCAGTATGTTAGTGAACTTGTCAGAAAGAGGACGGGGAGAATACTAAGAAATGAAATAAAATATTTACTAATAAAAAATTTTCAAAAGTGGGATGTGTTGTGGAGTAATTAACACACTCCTGGTAACACAAATGAACTAGACCAGATGCTATAAATAAAGAACTCAAAGTGAGTCAGAAGTCTATTGGAGTCAGTCGAGGAAAGAATTGATGATGTCACTGCCAGTAGCCTTAACAAGATGTAATATTATAACTGCTGGGAATGAGTTATAAGAAATATTAATAATAGAATGCTAGTGGTTAAATGTTTGGAAAATATAATATTTTCAATCAAGAAAATCAACACAAAGTTATTTTCGTTCATTTTAATACAAAAACCAATAATATTGTGATGATATTCCAAGTAGGGAATTGCAGTTGTATATAATCGGTATTGGTTCTACAGTCCAAGTACCTTATGTAGTAAGCCTATAAATAATGTCTACTCATAGACATATGCTAATTAGTGGTAGCACTAACAAATTGCTATTACATCTACCGGAAGTGAATAGGCTTTATACTTCTCAAGCTTCTTCATCTATTTATATTTTCATTTTGACTTCACTCTGTGTATGTTTTTCTTTATGGGAGATCTAGATTTGTCTCATTTGTTGATGATGTCCTGTTCTTCATAATTGATACTTGAATCATCCTGTCTTAGTCTTCCATTGACTCCTCATCTGAAATGAAAAAGTCAACCAAAATAAAACATAACACCACACTCTTGACATGTGTGTAGCCATATGAATACAAGATCAAGGTTCACTCTCCTTAGGCCATGTATGTACTTTATTTTGGCATTCTTTTTCTTTCTTTTTTCTTTTTCTTTCTTTCTTTCTTTTTTTTTTTTTTTTTTTTTTTTTTTCAGCATATTTCAAACATTTTTGTATGTGATTTTCAACATCATGTGCATATCCAAGCCCCCTTGCTTCTAAATTCAAACGATTCTGTGTAATTGTAATTTCACAATGCACAATTTCATGCTCACTTTTTATTTGCATCATTTTTACATTTTTCAGGTGGTACTACTAAATCTCCATTACATGCAACAACATTTTGTACAGTTAACTTGTATCTAATTTCTTTGTATGGCCTTTCAGCTTTAGAACAATTATTCTCCTTATTAGTTTTTATTCTACTTGGAATTTTACTTAATATTGGATCTAGTGAAGTTGATTTATTGGTAGAACGTCAGTTCCTACCCAATGCAAAAATTAATCTTCCATATTTTCTAATAGGATGTCTTTTTGTCCCTTTTTAAAATGTAATCTGGATAATACATCTACTTTGGTGATAGCATTTCCCTTTACATATTCAATATCAAATTCAAAAGCCATTAAAATAAATATTTATCTTTGTTAACAGTAATTCCAGATATCCTTAGTCTATTCAGTACCTTGTTGGTTTTTGTTTCAAAGTTTCTTTATTGATTGCACCTAGACATTTATCATCTTGATATTTTATCATACGTTTTGTCTTCTCTTAGAACGTTTTCTATTGCTTTGTGAAAGATGGCACTTGCTGGCTTTATCCCATAAGGCATACAAGTCCATCTAAACAGTTGGAATAGGGAATTAATAGTGGTGATTTCCTTAAATTTATCATCAATTTGAATTTAATGTTATGCACATTTTAGATCAATGTTTGTAAAGCATTTCATTCCTGCTAACAAATGTAATTTATTTTCAATGTTTCAGAAAGAATAATAATCCAAACAAATGCAATGGTTTACACCTAATTTATAGTCACCACAGATTCTAAGATCACCATTTGGCTTTCCCAGAACTACTATAGGTGATGCCCATTTACTTTCCAACTAGAGGAACATGTTCCAAAATACCTGTTATAACCTAGTTGCCATGTTTTTCTCAAAGCCCCAATGAGCTCTCTCATCATGGAGATTCCAAAATCCCTGAGGAGCATAACTCTCGTTGACCCTAACAACCATTTTATGTAGTTTCACAACTACCAGGGTTAATAATTGATTTAGACATTTGCAAGATTCAAGATATGAGAGGTTACAATTTTCTTTCAATTTAATACTTGTTTTATAATTTTTTAACATTCAATTTTTGGTATTATCTGAATTCTTCGATTGAATTAGACACATGCTTTTAACTTTAAGCATATCTGTTCCTATTTAAGTCATGGCTTTTATACGGTCCACAACTACAATTGTAACAATTTTGATCCTGGTGTTTGTTTCAAATGTTCCTTCAAAGTATTCTAATCTCTTTATGCATGAACCATCAAATTGTCTTAATTTTCAATGATTTTTATATAGCTTCAGTTTACCCAATTAAACCCAAAAGTTCTTCTGAATTAGTGTTAGATTGTTTGTTGGTATCAATTTAGATTTAAAAGTTTTTCCCATTCAGTTTAATTTTCCATGAAGGTATTTTCTTTCTTATTCATCTATATTAAGAAAACATCTGTCTTCTCTTTTTAAAGAGACTTCCAATTTTTTAGATGCTTTTCATATTTTTCTTGTTTAATTTACACATGGATTGAAAGTGATTTTTCTTTTTACAATTTTTACATGTCTGTCCCCATGTCAGCATTTTTCTCTGTTTGGTTCATGTTCATAGTCAGAATATTTGCATTTTAGTTTTGTTTTCTTTATCATGTGTTCATAATTTGGGTTTTTTTGCTTATTGAATTTTTCAATCAATTCTTCCTCTTGTATAAATTTGATTGACAGCCCTAACAACATTTGGTTTAATTGCAACTGTTTTAACATATTAAATCTATGCAAAGTATTGTACATACCTTATATTAGTCTTAGCTGAATTAATTCCTCTTTAATATACATGTCTACTTGTTCCAAACATTGATATCTGCTGGTGTCTCATAGCTGGTGCAGATATTTCATAATGGGTGCCTCACATTCTTGTTTTAATGACAAGAACTTCGTTTGTTTAGCAATGACCAACATTTTCCTTGATCAAATATTTCTTAAAATAATCTCTTTGGTTTGGTTGAATATCAATTCTTCAACTTCTGTTTGATAAGTCATCAATGAAATCTTTCTAATGGCTAATACTAATTCATCTTTGTGTATGTGGTATGGCTGGTCAGGGCTGGTAAAATGAAGGAGATTCATCTTTGTGTATGTGGTATGGCAGGTCAGTGTTGGTGGAACCAAGGAATGCAGCTCATCTGAGCACTTGGCATAGAAATAGCAATAGAACAGTGAGTGGCTTGTGACATTTCACCTGTGAGGAAAGGAGTTGTAGAGTAGAAAATAATTCATGACCCACAAAGCCGCATAGATGCTTTGAACATTATCAAGACAGGTAAATGAGGACTGGGCAGCAACACTCCGTTTTTGGTCTGATCTGGCTCTTGTAAAGGGTATAACAATTGGGGGAGGGTGTATGATAATAACTTAGTACAATGAACTGACCATTTTTCTAGCATCTCTAGCAATGGATCGTATATATGAGTTCCACTTGAGGTCTGGTGTGCATCCTGTCAATAAAGACATCCACATTCAGAACAATCAAAAATTTGTGGATACATGTAAAATGGTAATTTCATAAAGAGGGTGAAACTTCAAGAGCCCTTTTATGAACATATCTCCAGGGATCTGTAGGGAAACAATTTTTAGGATGACAACACATAAAAATTACTTGACAAATATAATGTGGATGTCTTTTTTTATATATATATATTTTTAACTACCCTGTTTAAAAAATATTCTAAACTATCTAATATTTTATTATATTTTAAGTACTTTGGCTTTGTATAAATGTACTGCTTTTTTTTTTTTAACTAATGTTCACTCAATACAAGGCCCAAGGGCCACTCAATGTAGAGGGTTGCTGTGTAGAGTTGTATTAGCATAAGACAGGGCAAGATAACAGGAAAGAAAAATTTAATTAACAAATAAAACTTTAGGTGGAGACATTAGAAGTATAGAGTTTAAGTGGACTTTAGAAGGGACTCGAAACCCAGTCCTGAACAGAAAACAAGAGATGAACCTCTACTCTGGTTCAAAAGACCAGGGAGGAGTGAGAACTGAATGGTAGAAAATTACTGATAAATTTTAAATTAGTTATAGTTACATCTTTTACTTTCTGAGGATGTCATATATGGACATTTGTGTTTATAAAAATTAACACATAAAAAAAAAATGGAAATTATTTTTTAAAATACTGGGGGTTGTTGAATTGTAATGAGCTTTTCTATTTATGATTAGTAAATGTAGTTTTAATTTAATAGTATCACTTGATTGTTACAAATTAATACAGAATTTTAAAAGATTTAAATGTTTATAAATATTTCTAATTAAAATTTAAAAAAAATAAAATGAAAGCAGTTCTTGCAAAAATTCATTATTCATCAAAAAAAAATTCTACCATAATATATTTTATTCATAAAACAAAAGCTTTTCAAATTAAAATATGTCTCAGTTTTGCAAACATAAACTTTTAGAGATACATTATTGTATTATAGGAAATTTGCCTCGTGAATGAATTCACATTCATTGTACGTAAGGGCCATTCATTTTTTTAACTTTACATTTGTCTTTGTCTTTAAAAATAAACCTTATCTCTATATTTGTTGTAGTCACATGACCCATATGGTTTTTTATGTTCCTTCCCCATCTTACTCCTTATTTTTATCTTGTTTTACAGGTGCTATATTCCAACCACTGATGATACAAGTGCGGCATCGGAAAAGCATTGATGTGCGGAAGCCTCCCCCTGGGCCTCTTCTTTGGCGTATGTTACAGGAAATATCAGCTCCTATTGAAATGAAAACTATCACACCAATGGGTGAACATTGTCAAACGATGAGGCAGCAAAGATCCTCATTAACTGTTGTAAGAAGGGTTTTCTGACAATTTGTGTGAAAATTAGTCTTGTTTAAAATGAAGCAAAAACAAATCCTGATATGGTTGAGTCTGAGCTAACACATTCTAAAAATGGATGGAATTTAATTAGCAGTTTCTAAAATATAAGGAACATTTGCCTATATATCACAGCTGTTTGAGGTTTCCTACAGACCCACTGAACTTAAATAAAGTCAATTCAGGTTTCCTATGGTAAAAATTTTCTTTCCCAAGTGAAAATCATCATAAAAAAAATAGCAAAAGTCATTTTGTCACAGCTTATTTTCTCTCAAAATATGGGTTTTCATACTTTTTAGGGGTAAAATATTGAAAAATGACTGTTTTATCATCACCTAAACGAATATCAAGGAAACTTTTGATCTGAACCCCATGAAACTAGGTATTTTCTGAAAGCAAAAGATATATTCTTTCATTTAAAAGTAAAATTAGCTGGTGTAAATGACTCAAAAATTTTTTCAGTGGGTAAAATGTGAAAAAAATAGTGAAAATTTTGCATTTTTTCTTGTTCTAAACAAATATTTCCCCCATTAATGGGAAATTAACCATTTTTTTTTTTTTTTTTTTTGAAAATCAGAAAGCCTAGATCATAATCAAACTATTTCAGGCATAAAATTGAGAGTTTTGAAGGAAATCAACATTCCTAGGGGTTCAAAAAATACGACAAAATCCATTGTTAATTTTCAATTATGACTGCCAAGGGTTAAAAAAATTGACACCTGGCCACGGAAATCTTTAGTAAAAGGCAAGAGATTTATCTGCAATTCCTAACCACCAGAAACCAAAAGTTTTTTTTTTTTTTCCTAAAAATAGTGATAAGGGAAAATAAACCTAATTGACTTTGACGTCTAGGTCAAAGGCCAGCCAGCCAGCCAGCCAGCCAGCCAGCAAGCAATAAACGGATGGCAAACCTTAGAACAAGTTGTAATAAAACCCACCACTCCCAGATAAAAGCAAAGGGTGAATAAAAAAGGGTTCACAATTACTAGGGCTTCATATAACCTATGTTTGAACAATGGCTTGATAAGTTTTGTTTTGTTTTTAACATCCCGTGACCCGGTGATGACAACAACACTTAGCAGACAACATTGTTTTTTTTCGCCGCCAGATATCTTTTGTATTTCCCATCGCCGGTCCATTTAGCCTTTCTTTTTTATTCAATGATGTTCATGCCAAATGAAAGAGAAAGGAATGAATTTTGAATGATGTTATTTTGAAGCGAAAATGAATATTTTTTCATTAAAAAAAGGGGATTTTTCTCAGAAAATTGTGCATAATTTCTTAATGCTAACCGCCGAGTGACATTTTCCACAGCCAAATCGAAGATTAATTACCAGTGAATAATTCCATGTGCAAAAAATAGCCGTCTGGATCCTATAAGGTCGCCCTAAAAGGTCCAGAAGTTTACTAATTGATCGAAAACCTGTTGCGCATAATTGTATTTTTCACGGTCAGTTTCCATTATTTCATCTTGATATTATCATTTTCGGACAGCCAAGTCATCAAGGATTCAGGAAAACACTTTGACATAGGTTTTCTTTAAGAACTTTACATTCTATGAGGTGTTTAAAATGTTACTGACGAATGAGATTTTTTGCCGCATATTTCGTTTACGCGCCATGTTGGATTTTCCTATATGACAAAAAACAAAAAAAAAGGGTTTTAAATATATATATATATATATATATATATATATAGTTATCCACAAACAGACTGTTTTGCTGTATCACAGCTCATCAGTGTGGCTAGACATATGATTGTTTGAAAAACAAGTGATTTGACATCAGTTAGAGACTCTCACCTGTAAACCATCAGCACACACTAGGAAGAAAGGAAATTTTAACACATTATATACAAGATATATGCATTACCAGCTACAATTCATAATGAAGAGCTTAGTATTAATCATCATCAGCGAAGGCAGTAATTTCTTATAGAGGTTAAATAAAAGTGAAATGTTAAATTTATAAATTTAACATGTTTTGCTTTTATTTAAGTTTTATCAGAAATTAAATATGGAATATTCTGAATTTTTTATTTTTATGTTATTTGTTTTCCATTGGTTAAGTAGACTTCATACATTTGTCTTGTCAGGTAGCATTTGTGTGTATAATTAACAAATGCCACTCTAATAAGAAAAGAACAATTTATTACGTAGAAAATATGTAGAAGGAATCCTGATAAATATTTTCTCATCTGTTGCTTCAAGTCTCTCTTGCATCTGTGACGCGATTGTCCATCATTCACTGTCATATTCTGAATGTATCCCACTTTGAGTTTCCATTCTCATTTTGTCCATTATATATGCTTTTTAACACTTTTCATATATTTCGCCTTCACATCTGGGTCATTCAGAAGCAATTTGGGTGCTGACATGGCCCTCTTCAATTTCCTAATCTCAATCTAATTTTAAATATTACTGCACGGTGGTCACTCCCACAGTCAGCAATTAGATATGTTTTGCAGTGTAAAACTGTATTCCTCAATCTTTTAGTAGTAGTTAATATAGCCATTTTGGTCTTTTGTTTCTCCTCCTGGGCTTCTCCATCTCCATATATGTTTTGGGTGTTTTTTGAAACCTGGTCATTCAACCGGGCCCATTTTTCCTGGTGCTCATTATGAGTTCCTAGTCTGAGTTTGCCAACTATTTCACCATTTCAATCTTTATGACCATTACATGCACAAACATGCGCACACATTAACAACCAAATCTCACATAGACCAATTAAAATTATGATACACATACAAGAATTATATACATGAACACTATCAGATTAGACAAATATATGCATAAATAATGAAAAACAATACAAAAATAAAAGAAATTACCAGAATTTTCTTTTCTCTTCCATATTTCATTTTCTGATGAAGCTTAAATAAAAGCTAAACATGTTAAATTTGTTTCCTATTTGTTCCTTATCCTATCATTCCATCAGATTCTAATCCATATTTGATCCCAAGTCATATATATATATATATATATATATATATATATATATATGTGTGTGTGTGTAGTATTTTTAAAATTGAAATATATATATTTCAATTTTAAAAATACCATTTTAATTAAAGGAGAAAGCAATTTACTAAGACAAAAATATATAGAAAGTGCTTTAATCGCTAGATCATCCACAGTAAATTTATGTCCAGTTTCTTACAACATGTCACCTTTCTTGGCAGATCTTCAATCACTCTTAATAATAAAAATTATAAAGAGAAATTATCAAAAAAAAAACGTAATTTAAATTTAAAAGTTTAAAATTTCAGCATCAGTATAAAATTTAAATACCTGAACAACTGAAGTTTCACTCTTCTGGTCAGGGATCCTCAAACTAGGTTGTATTTTTATAATTATAAATTGATCATCTCCTCAAGATTTTGGGCAATCCAGCTTTTCTGTTGTAAAATACGAGAAATTTATAATTACAAAAATATAACCTGGCCTGACAAGAAGGGTGAAGCTTTAGTAGCTAAGTTATTTATATTTTATAATTTTCATCTTTATGTTCTACGCAGTATTGATCACTAGTTTTACTGAATTTTTTTATATTAGTTCACATAGAATATCTCCATATGTATCTTATCTAAATAAAAGTTGACTTTGAAGTCGGCATTCACAGGTAACGGTCTGTTTCATGCTTAAATGCAATCCTCAGGCCATACGCATTGTGTTTTTGCTCGACTATATATACAGGTCAGTGATTCATTGTGGGTAGTCGTATTATTCTAACAGTTATTTTAGTGGGTGGTAATGTTGCATTTAAGCATCAGACTGTTGCCTCTGGGTGTTGACTTCAATGTCCACTTTTATATATATATTCTCTCTAACCCTGATATTGAGCATTTTAACCTATAAATATAGCACACCTAAAACTATATTCTATCATATATATATATATATATATATATATATATATATATATTTTATATATACATATTTATGTTTATACATTCTTTTTTATAGATACAAATATTTAAGTATATGCTCTGTTTATAATAAACAGTATTAACAACATTTACTGGCCGAGAAATTGCCATAGAAAATATGCATCCTCCGACAAGAATCGAACCTTTATCCTATATGGAACCATCATATAGCCTGATGTGCTTTTACCGATTTCGCCACAGAGGAGCGTTTCGGCTAGCAAGGTTGATTTTACTGTTTTTAAACTACAATTTTCCATGATTTTCTCACATACATTCATATCTGCTTGATGTGTATCCAAATGTAAACAAATGACATTACACATTATGAAATGGACAAAGTCCAATAATTATTTTAAGACATTTTTAAGTTTATCTATAAAAAAGAATGTATAAACATAAAAATGTCTTAAAATAATTGTCGGACTTTGTCCATTTCATAATATATATATATATCCAAATATTATTATAGTGGATATAATTTAATCTATGCCGGGGGACACATTTTTGTTTACTAAGATTTCTTGAATGTGCAGGCTCATAGATGTAATACACACTATTTTGAATACAGAGTATCCACTGTAATATTGTTTGAAGTAACAAAATATGTACATGCACAAACGGAGGATGCATATTTACTAATGAACGAGTCCTCACTTAATGTACCTGTTTGGCATTTTTAAAGTTATTTTCATTAAGTATAAATTGGTTTTATTAAAGCAGATTTTTTTTTTTTTACTATAGTGGCAAAGGGGAGTTAATCAACATTAGACCATAATTCAATAGTTTCAAGCAATTGTAAAACTGTGGAAATAAATGTTACTCTTAGACTTCTTTATCCTATTGAATTTGTAACTTCTTTATCCTTTCTAGCTGAATCAGTATGAAGAATTTGTATTGAAGTACACTCAAGAAGTGCTGAAGAATTGTCGTATGTTGATGGTCTACCAGCATCTACCAATGACGGCAAATGAGAAAAAAAGCATTAAAGTTAAATTGGCAGAAAATGATTTTCACCTTTTAACTACACAGAACAAAATTATGAAGTAAGTAATTTCTGTTTTTTTTTTTTAAACTTTTGTTTATCACAATCAGTGATTGAAAATTAGTTTTATTTCATGAGGTATGCAAGGAGGAAATGAGAGCCTTAATCTGTTTAATCTCTGCCTAGACTATGTTCTATGTATATATAGGCACAGATGTGAAGAGACAGGCTGATCTTTTAAACATTCCATATCGTATTTCAAATGAATCTACTGATGAAAAACAGCATTCCTGTTATCTATCCAGGGGACAGTCTACTGACAATGCTGATGACATGAAGAGATGGGCACTGACCATTTAAATATTTCATGCCACATCCCAAATGAATCTACCAATAGAAAACAATGATGTTGCTTTCCCTCCTGAGGCCAATGTGCTGATGTGTGTGTGTGTCCCCGGTGCTATGCTGATGACATAGGTATTCATAGTTGGGATAAGAATTAACTTAAGAATTCATCAGAAAATTAAAATAGAAAAACCATGAAGTTTCCACAGGTTTTTCTTGTGTTTAACAAGTAATTTCTTGTACATTCTTTTGTTTCTTCTGTGGACTAGATAATTTCTTTTAATTTTGTTGTCATTTTTTTCTTTTACAATGATGTTCACTCTGTACAAGGCCCAAGAGCCACTCGAGGTAGAGGTTCATAGAGTAAGAGGTACAGGTTATGGGAATATGTAGAGAAGATAGCAGTTAACCCTAGGCTTGAATAGGTTCAGATTGTAGTGATTGAGGAAGCATCCACTTGGGAGTCAGTTCCTTAAAGCAGCAGTTTATGGAAAGAAGCTGCTAGAATGGAACTTACATCTTACCAATGGAATACAAAGGAAATAAGAGTCGTTCATTATAACGGGCGTGGCATGGTGGGTATTAGCCGTGAAGATTAGAACTTGAGGAACTAAGGAATGTAGTTCGTCTGAGTACTTTCCATCGAAATAGTGATAGAGCAGCAAGAGTCTTGCAATGTTTTGTCTGTGAAAAAGAGGTTGTAAGGTGGAAAATAATTTGTCATCCACAAGGACGCAGAGACACTTTTGGACACTGTTGAGACTGGAAAGTTATGACTGGGGCAGATCCTGTCCATATATGGCAGCAGGACTCCATTTTCAAATAATTGTCATTCAGATCATTGCCCATGTTTTTCTGTTGCTAAAATCTTTTCTATTCAAGATCTCTTGACATTGCTGAAAATAGTATTAATAAGAACCCTATAAAGTTGTTAAAATTACAAAAGAATTATAATTCAGTATAATAATGGTATTTATAGACAGTATGGAATCAACAAAATCAGAATCACTCTGAAATGTGAAACCGATAGTCATTGTAGTATTGATTCCACACACACTATATATATATATATATATATATATATATATATAATTAATTTACAAATTGGAGACTTCAGAAAGTCATGGTAATATTTTATATTTCATGAGGCCAATAAAATTCGGTTTCACTTTGTCAGACCTTGCGGTTTCAAAACAATGAGTAGTAAGTAATTATTACTTGCTCTGTTTACTATGTTGAGTTCTCGGGATTTATATCCTCCTGGAATTATCCATACAGATTACCAATTAAATTTATCATAATATATATATATATATATATATATATATATATATATATATATATATATATATATATATATATTTTAAATTTTTTGCTGTACTAAAGTTATCTTGCATTAGTAACAGTAGGTTGGCGGTGTCTTTGTTAAAACAATGGTAGTGTTTTTGAAAGTTGTTTATAAAACCAGAAAATAAAAAGAACAGGATTATATTAATAATAATGATGATAAAGAATGTACAGAGGATTATAATAATAATAATAATAATAATAATAATGGGCACATTGCTGAGTTTGTTAGAATGTTTGATTTCCAACCATGTGACCTGTATTTGAATTTCACTATATTGATTTGTCAGGAAGGTGACTTGGGAGTGACATTGGATAGATGGAGCCATTTGAGAGCTGTCGGTGGTTGAGCTAGCACAAAGTCGCAAGTCATCATGATCGAGAGTTTGAGTGTACTGACCTTGTCAGTCTGTAGATCACGCCGGATAATGTGCTCTCTCCCAGAAACTAGCTAAAGTTGGCTCAGCATAGTTGCAGAATAAACTACAAGTTGGCTCTGTGGGTATTGAACAAAAACAATTGTATCTGAGCAAGCGTCTGCAATAGGGATTGGCTAACCACCCTAGCAGATAGGCATACTTGGATATAAGTGGCCATTAATACTACTACTACTAATAATAGGAAAAAAAATATATTGAAATACACACATGAAAACCTTTTAACAATGATAACTTATTGTAACCCATGAAAATTTCATGCTTTTCCTTTTTGAAATTTCTGATGAATCTTAATTTTTCAGTTAATGTTTGAATAAACTCAATTCCAAGACAATAAAATGTCTGTCAAAATTCCTCTATCACATTGTTAAATATTTGAGCTTAACAACTTTAAAAAAATATTGCAATAACAATCATTAATTATGAATGCTGGTTGTTATTTTAAGAAGTAATGAAAAGATTTGAAATTGACTGCTTTTTTTCATTTCACTGAAACAGGTTAAGCAATTTTTTTTTTTTTTTTCACTGAAGCCAAATCTTTGATATGTCTTTTGTCTTCTTGCCAATCAAAATGGAATAGTCCATTATTTATACAGTATTGGCAGGGCATAACAGGTGTGTAAACTAACAAATGGCAGGACAAGCACATTTATTATATGATAACATAATAGTCTGTCATCTTTGATGGCATGGATAAACATAGTGGAAATGCTTTTTGCAGTCAGAGAGTGTCTCAACTTGGTGTTATGATAGGAAACTACATTAAGATTGTAGTGATTGGGAAAACACCCTCTTGGGAGTCGATTTCACAGATCAGCAGTTTGCGGGAAGAAGCTGTTCAAGTGGAACTCACAAATGGAACATGAAAGGAAATGCTGGTAGTTCACTAGAATGTGCATCAGGATGCGTCTTTTAGCAATGAAGGTTAGAACTGGTGGAACTAAGGAATGTAGTTCATCTGAACGCTTTCCATGGAAATAGTGATAGAGCAGCAAGAGGCTTGCAATGTCTTATCTAAGGGAAAGAGGTCATAGGGTAGAAAATTTGTCCTCCCAAGTATGCAGAGACCTTTTTAGACTCTATCAAGACTGGAAAAAGTAGACTGGGTAGCTCTTGCCCATATATGGAAGCAGTAGGTCTAATCTGGCTCTTGTAAAGGTAGAGAATAGCAGGAGGAGTCAGTATTGGGAACTGACCATTTTTGCAGCATCTTTAGCGATGGATCTTACGTACGAGCTCCACTTGAGGTCTGTATTGAGCTTAAGACCCTATAGACTCTCAAGGTATGGGTGGCTTCCCTGAGGGAACATCCATTCATTGTGATTGGTGATAGTTCAGGGTCTGTGAAATAATAGTGATAGCCTGGATAATGTTGAAATTGGTGTGAAGTATATTCTGGTTTCAAGAATCTCATGATGTCTACAATCATTATATTAGTAACAAATGTTTATATACATTTTTTTTCCCTTTTTCTTGCAGAATAGCTATCGCTGACACGCGAATGGCCAATTTAGACCCGTTGCTGGTTAGCTTCAATTATTTTATTGTTAGTGAAAAAACAGACATTGCTTCCCTCTTGAAATGCACTCAGTCAATGTCTAAAATGATTTTACTTGGTGAGTAAATATTTTTTTTTTTTTTTTTTAAATGAATGTTACATTTTTGAGGTGTGAATTAAAGTTAGTGGATTGATTAATCAATTGGGGAAAAAATGACCCAAAATCTCCAAAGAGAATCTACCAGTCGATTTATCCTCTAATACTAAACTTCACAATGTAACCTACATAAGATAATCAATACAAAAAAAGCAGTGATAATGTACTAATACAAATAAAAATCTTATAAAAATTGAAAAAAATCAAGTGGGTAAATTTCAGTGAGAATAATTATTCCTCTCCCTTAACCATTTGGTAATACACTCTGACCTCTTTCATCTGACACTCTGTGTTCAGGAAACTTCCATGTTCCAGTATTTTTCTTAATCAGCTGCCATTAGTTTGAGAGCAGCACCAAACATTGTTTACAACTTTCTAGAACATTCAACAGCAGCAGTGTATTTTGTTGATATGGTCTTGCTCATTTCTTATATATAGCTGCCTATTTATCCATTCAGGATTGGAAGAATATATTTTTTTTTGGTGTTTAGGCTTTTTTTTAGCTGTTGTATTGCAGGAAACAATAAAAACCTTGTTTGCAATCATTAATGATTGTTTTATTTCTTGTTTTAAGTATTGTCCTACCTTTTGATAACACAGCAATCAATATGTAGAATGTGATGGCAAGACTAGGTTTACATAGGTTTTTTTTTTTTTTTTTTTAAGGGTAATTTCTGTCATCCGGCATTATTTTGTGGTCAGCCATATCTTTGTTTCAAAGGTGCTGGAGGCCGGACTGTAATTTAAATTCCATAAATAGGAATTGACGTTGTAACCAATTTCAATGGCCTATAGGTAAGCACAATTATCTTTTTTGTGTGGTGTCAGGCTGTGGGTGATCATGGCTCTCCACAATTTCCTGTCCTTTATCGCAATTACTTATATTTGTTTTTTTACTATCCTTATTTCACTGTTCTGCCATCCATTTATAGAAGATACTTTGGTAGGTTACTTGCTCTTTTACTGTCTCGCCTTTCAGTATATCCTGTGAATGTTAAATTTTCCAAGCCCTCTTTCTTCTTTATGTGTTCTAGAAATCCCTTTCTGATTCTAAGTGTCCTTTTTATTTCCTGTTTGAAGTTTTGTTCTACTTTTGATAACACAGCAATATATATGTGGAATCAGCTGGCATGACTATGTTTACATATGGTTTTTTCTTAAGGGGTGATTTCTGTTATCTGGAATTTTCTGTGGTATGGCAGAGGCCTGTTTTCAAGAGTTCCGGATTAAAGAGGTTGGACTGTAATATTAGATTGTTTGGGATGTAATTATGTATTCCATGACTATAATTTATAAATCAACCAACCAACCAAGGTAGAACCAAAGTTGAATGGTATGAAACTGTTTTTAGAATTAGTTTATCATCTCCTAGTGAGTTATTTCTAGTTCATTTCAGAGTTTATCTCTCGGGGAGGTTATCACTTCAGAAAGCAACATGTTCATCATTGCTTACTTTATGTATTCTGAAAGGGTACTACATTTGGACAGTATATACAGATGCTATGGAGGCTCATAAATGTCACCTGTGCTTCAAAAAGTTTTAAAAAGGGGCAATTGTAACAGATCTTGCAAATTTAGCACTGAAAGACAACCCACAAGTAAGAACTATTCAATTGGATCCATGTCAAAACCTCAGTGATGTAATAAAAAAATTATTTTGTCATGTTTAACTGTTCCTGAACATCTCAAGCAAATTGTAAAGGGTAAATTTAAGTTCCGCATGAGCTTTTGCTTGAGAACATAACACAATGTTTGACCATCTGCAGCAATCTTTTAAACACGAATGCCAATCTTTCATTTTTTCATTGCATTGTTACAGGTGATGAAAAATGGGTTTTGCATGTCAACAGAAAATGAAAAAAAAAACAGTAGTAATCACAAAATGAGAAACCAGTGCAGACACCAATACCATCCACACAAGTCCCTGCTTTGTTCCTAGTGCAAATATAGAAGATGTCACCAATTACAAGTTTAGGAAGCATAGAACAGGCTGCACTGCAGACATTAATTGCCAACAGCTTGATTAAGTAAATGAAGCATTATATTGAAAGTGTCCTGCTTTGGTAAACAAGGAAGGTGTTATTTTTTTAGAATGACAATACAAAACAAATCCAAGAAAAAATAAGATTGTTAATATGACACTATGTACACTCATGCAGAAAAGGAAGATGTGATTTTATCTTGATCTCACATGTTTCTGTTTTATAGCCAGCTGATGGTTCTTGTTGAAGTCTAGTTTTCTAAGTAGCATCCACTTTGCCTGAAGGGAAACTGGAATGTAAAGGAGTGGATGAGGGTTTTTTGGAGATCAAGTGACAAGAAAACCGGAAATAGTGCATATCCAGGTGCTAGTCTATATTAAGTTATGCTTAGGACTCAAGTCAATTCTGGTCTGCTCCTGGAGGGATATGGACATCTCTAATTTGGTTTCGTTGCCACCTGTTCATACTGCCAGCCATTTGTCAGGATGTGTAAATGAGCAAAGAGTCGGTAGGGGAAAGAACTTATCTATGAGATCAGCATAGTTGTCCAAAATATTGCCTACCTACCTACCCAGGTGAAACGTTGAATAAAACATCTGCATATGATATTGTTGTATTCTTAAAGAGGATACAGACAGACAAAGGTGGTACTCGAGTAAAGGAACAGCCACGCATGTGTAGATGAAAGAAGAGAGGTTTATTGTAAAAGAGAATACATGACTGAAAGACAGGGAATCGGGTGGCAGGCTAGTAATTCCTGAAGCAAGGATATCTACCAACTGCTCTACATGGCCAGATGTGGCACAAGGTCGAATTTAATGTGGGGTATCCAAGCCTGTAGGTTCATCCAAAAATTCCCTGTATAAAACAGGGTGTGGTAGCTGTTTCCCCAGACAAAACTCTGTCCTTCAACATAGCCTCGTCTGGGGATCATCTCTGCCCAAAGGTAGAGTTTGACCAGCACAGCTGGAAACAAATCCCAAACTAATTCCTGAAGTAAAGATATTTACCAACCGCCCCACGTGGTCAGGTGTGGCACAAGGCCGAATTTAACGCTCTGGCAAAAATTCCCCGCAGACCCTGTAAAAAACTGGGTCGGATAGCTGTCTACCACTCCAGATCAGACTCTGCCCTTCGGTATAGCCTTGTCTGGGTTCCTCTCTACCTTTTAGTCAGAGAGTTTGAGTAGCACAGCTGGAGACAAATCTCCAACTAATTGCTGAAGCAAAACCCCAGGTATATCCTGTGCTCATTATATATGGCTACTGATGTAGTCAGTCCACATAGTCAGGCGATAAGGAGTGTGGGACATTCCATTACAACAAATGTTATCTTTAAATTCTACTCTTGACTCGTCTGGAGTATCTTTATCTGACTTTATCAAGTATATGCCCATTGCTTCTGCCATTTTTAAATGCTTGCTCTGTTGAAAGAGCTTAAAATATGTTTAGTTGATATACCATACTGTTATTTACTAAGTTGTCCAAATTACATTTAACAGCTGTAGGTATAAATAAGATGCATGGTTGTTGTAAAGGTTCTCAGTAAGAAAGGAGAATTAGTGAACTGGGTTCAAATTCTAGACTTGTTGCATTTACTTTTACATTAATATCATTGGGGAAGTGAAGAATTCATGTCCCCCTCCCCCACACAATGGATTAAATAGCAAGATGAATTGTGATCTCCAGCCTTAAACAGTAACCAGTCTAGGAGAAGGACAACCTTGAATGCAAAATCTTGGGAGGAAATGATTAGGAACTTTTCTATTATCTTTCTCAAGAAGTAATGGCAATTCGTTGATTATAATTGCCTGCATCCTGAAGGGATATTGCATTAAAAAATGTTTGTATTGTCTTTCTTTTTCCTTTTTTCTCTCGTATTTTTCTTTTATATTTTTCTTTTGTCTTTTGTCTTGTTCTCTATTGTCTTTTTTTCTCCTTTTTTCAATTGTCTTTCTTTTTTTCTTTTGTTTATCTTTTTCTCTTGTCTATCTTTTTCTCTTTTCTATTCTTTTTCTTTTTTTTTCTATTGTCATTTTCTCTTTTTACTGTTGTCTTTCTTTCTCTCTTTTTTCTCCCTTTGTTTACCCTTTTTCTTTTTTCTTTCTGTTTGTCTTTCTTTCCATGTTTTCTTTCTTTGATTTCTCTTTCTTTCTTGTTTTCATTTTTCTTTTTCTCTCTTTTTTCTTTCTTTCTCCTTTTTTCTTTCTTTCTCCTTTTTTCTTTCTTTTTCTCTTTTTCTTTTTCCTTTCTTTCTTTCAATGATGTGTGAATAAAATTACATCTGGAGTAAAGGTGTGTTAAAAAAAGCAAACATGTTTGCTACATCCTAAACCCTAGTGAATTTGGTAACAGTAATTTTGTGTTCAAATCCTTGGGTAAGGCAGTGGAAACAGGCATTCCAGTAACTGAGTAGTACTGAATACATACAGCACAATATATTTTAAGAAACGGACAGCAGAATGAGATTAATCTACCCCTGTAGATTAAATAAAGTGTTCAGTTACAAATTCCCTGAGGGTTGCTAGGATCAACCAACACCTGAAAATGCCTGGTGGATACAACAGCCGAAATTTGATAACATCATCAAGATTATGACAGTGATCCAAGTCTAAATAATGTAACTAAAATTTGATCAGACTCAGATAATAAACAGTCAAAGGTATGATACAAATAGACTGAAATAAAATAACAACTTTCTAATTACTTCAAACAGAAGGTTAGGAAGAAAGCCTCCATCATTTCTGGGAAGAGTGGGTGGCTTTGAGAAACCTATTCTAAGAAAGATTTTATAAATTTCGACTGAAAGTAGCATTGACTGCTTGGTCAATTAATGTTGAATACTTCTTCATAAGGGAATGGCTAATATTAACATTAGAGATGAAAACAGATACTACATTTTGATCCCAGCCTGATAACCAGGGAATAAATAAAAGTGTAACTTGAGTAGGAATGGCTGATTGGTCAACGAATGTTTCCATAGAAGAAAATGGCTAATATTAGCATATTTGTCAGAGATAAGAAGAACAGATACTACATTTTGATCCCAGCTCAATAGCCAAGGAATGAAGAAAAGGGTATCTCAAGTCGGAATGGTTGCTTGGTCAATGAATGCTGAATGTTTCTTTTAAGGAAGCGACTGGTATTAGCATTACTATTTTCTTTGGGTCAGTGTGTATCCAAAGAAAAAGTTAGTGCCAACCAACCATAATTATCAGTAGTAGTAGGTATTTACCTGTGTGCACATGTTGCAACAGAATGTGATACAAAGTCAGAGTTTAATATGGGTTTTCTGCAAATGCTATACAAAAATAGCTCAAGCCCCTTTGGCACTTCCCTTTTTGGTAACATCTCAGGTACTTGGTAATTACTCCAGCTCCCTCTTGAAGGGGAGATACTACCTGGGGAGATAGCACCCCTGAGGTTGGAACTAATATTAATTTTAACTTGCCTAGAGTATTATTATTATTATTAGTAGTAGTAGTAGTATTAATATTAGTAATAAAAATTCTGATAAGAAGTAGATTATGTCTTGCTAATGTTATTTCACTTACAGATAACAGTAGTGACTTGGGCCAGGATTTGATTGGCTGGTGTTTGCTGTTTAATATGATTTCCAAGAATCGGGCTGACTTAACAAATAAGCTGACCTGTTTGTGGAAAATCTGACTATTAAAGGATGAAAACTTTTAACAGATCTTGACATTAATCTGGGGTCTTCTTTTTTTCCGGCCAAATCTGCGAATTTGTTTTGCTTATGCTAAGTCTCAAACAAAAAACAAAAAAAACACTATATAAAATTCACTATTTTTTTATCCATGATGTTGAATGTGTTAAAATTATTCAACTTTTAACAAGAAAAATCTCAAGTTGATGTTAAATATTGCTGCAAAACATTGTTGATTTTTTTTTTTAAGATGGATTGATCTATGACATGTCTCTAATTTGTATTTAGATACATTGTATTTATTTTTAATTTTTCTAGTTGAATTGTTCACCTATATTACGTGATCCATTATTGTATATAATTAGGTTACAATAAAATTTGTATTTGAAATACTACCTTATGAAAAGTGAGATGTAGTAAAGTGGTGGTGGGGGCATATCATAGATTAGGAGGGAGGGCACAAGAGTCTTGCCCTGGCTGAAGAGCTAGGTAAACATCTACAATAAAACTGTGTAATGTTTTGGAGATTAAATAAACTAAATGTTGTCAGCTATGTGCTGTGTCCCTTCAGAATGTGAGTGATCATGGTTCTTCACAACTTCCTACACTTTGTAGCTATTAGTAACTTTTGCCTTTTCATCATCCTTCCCACTCTCTGTTCTACCATCCATTTATACAAGCTTGTTAGGTAGGTTACTCACTGTTTCTCTGTTCCTCTTGCCTTCAATCTGCTCTGTGAGTGTCAAATTTTCCAAGCTCTCCTTCCTCATTACGTTCTAGAAATTTCAACACTCCTTCTGATTTTATGTATAAGCATCCTTTTTGTGTCCATTATCCTGAAAATTTCCTTGTTACTCATATGTTTAGTCCATGGTATTCTCAGCATCCTTCTGTAGAACCACATTTCTGTTGCCTAAAGTCTCTTTTTCATTTGTGAAGAGATTGTCTATCATTCGTTACAACAGAGGAAGATTGATATTACATAGCAGCTCAACACTCTTTTCTTTGTTTCTAATAGAATTTTACTTTGCTTTGCTTTTGGAAGACATCTTTCACTATTCCAATGCACCTTCAGATTTCAGTCTCACATTATCTGTCCACTTCCCAGATATTTAAATTTTTGTACTTGCTTGATTTTGGCATCTTTACTTTTGTAGTTTGTATCTTGCGCTGTTCCTCTGGATGACAACCATATATTCTGTCTTCTTGCAATTGAGAGTCCTTTCTTCTCTCTTTCCTTTTTTACCTTCCTTATGAGGTCCTGCAGTTTAAACTTTTAGCATTAACATTGCACATATATATATATATATATATATATATATAGGAGGCACAGTAGACTAGTGGGTAGCAGCTTGGATTGAGGAATATGAGAGCTGAGTTCGAATTCCAGTCGAATCAATTACATTCACTTATGTGCTAATATCCTTGGTAAAGGTATTAATCCTCTTCTTCTCCCTCCAGCTATGGGTAAATAGCAGGAGAGACTGGGTTCTATACCCTTGGATATCAACTGGTCTAGGAGAAGGACAACCTGCAGAGGGTCGTTTGGGGACCCTGTGGCACATAGTGCACCAGGTCTCTGTATTCGAGCCTTCAAAAAGTGTGGTTGATTCTGCACAAAGCCTTCACCACTATAATCAAATCATATGTGTTGGTGTCTGGGCTGTCGGTCCTAGGAACTGAGCTGCTTGACCCTCATACATTGAATATGGCGGAAGAGTTCACCAGAAATATATATATATATATATATACACACACACACAAACCCATTAATTCACATATAATGAGAGAATTACAAGGGAATTTGGTTTGTTGAATACAAAGTTGTCTGGTAACCTTACAGCTCTGAAACTTCTGGGCTTCTAAGACTGATCCTGGTATTTTGACATCACAGAGATCATTTGCCTACTCAAGATCTGGCACACATGTGTCAGTATTGTTATCCTCATCTGGATTGGTTAGTTTGTCACTCTTAATGTCACAAAAGTCAATATCCAACTCATCTTGCATTTCTTCTAGTTTTCATTTTTTTTTTCCAGATTTTATAATAACCTGGGCTGCATATTCCTTCAAATGGGTGCTCTGAATCACTAGACTCCATTTCATTGTGATGCATGATTCCTCAACATCAAAAAAGATGAAAATTAAGATCGTGAATCTTTTATTTTCTTGGCTGAAATAGCATGTTTGTTAAAGTCTCACTGCATAACTTTCTGCATTATTTGTGAAGATGTCATCATATATTATTGCAGGATATACAGAAAGCATGTTATGGTGGGTTGAAGATTGAAAACCAATGATTAGAGGGTAGGGTTGAGTGGGTTCAAGACTAAAGGGTTAAGCAACTAAAAATAATCTCTTACTATAAGTGAATTATATTATTTCTTTAGATCATCATCAACATAATCAATTATTATATTCTCTTCTTCTCTACAGTTTTTACTTTTCAATAAGAGATCTTGCATTATAAGTGTTCTCCTTCAAGGTGTATGACCTCAAAGAGAAAGCATCTTTACAAAATATTTGCAGTGTTATTATTATTCTAATAGTAATCATTCATCTTTTTCACCTGTTAATTTAACCCTTGAACACTAACCATACCCAGCACAAATTTTCTTATTTTTAATTACAATTTTCAGTACCTGATTTTCTTACCTAAATAATGTTTTTCAGTTCCTATTAATGTTAACTCAAAGTACAAAGTTTGAAGTGCTTGCATGTAAAATATTTCAAATAAATATTTATATTTAATATTTTTTTTGATATTTTCAAAATCAGGTATGATATACCCATGGTTAGTAGTGGTGTGACTTTAATTGATCGTTAGTGTTCACAAAGAGATTTTAATCTAAATTTAAATTTTTTGATTTGAAATTTTTTGTATCTCATTAATTTCTTTTGTATCTATTATAAATGACTTAATAAGCAGCTAGGGGGCTTATTAGAAATCTGAACCCTTATAAATCTGGGTGACAGGGCTATTTATTTATTTTTTTTTTTTTTTTTTTTTTTTTTTTTTTTGAACATCAAGTAAATATCTTCTTGGGATTTTGCAGAACTTGATTAATTCCATGACATCCAATGTAGATTTTACATGAAAAAGAAAAAGTCTCCGTGTAAGATTGATCATATATCAATATCCGTGATGATCTCTGAGTCTATGTCTCTAAAGATCAGGCACTGTCATTTTGATGTCTTCTCAGTCTGTCTCAGATTTTCATCCTTTTTATTTAAGAGAGATATTGATAGCTCTGATCAAATGTTTTCCACTGACCTGAAGTGGAAAGATTATATTGAATCAATTGGCTTTGGATAACATAAGAGCAGACCTTCCATCACCTCTCTTAAACAAAAAGGGAAAAATTGGTTCTCTGAGTCGTGCTAGACAATTTTTCTTGTTAGAATCTATCTTAGACATTTATAAGTTTACCATTTCTCTATACATTGAATATTGCTGTCATATCTGGTCTAGTGCTTCTGCTATGTATTTAGAGATTCATGTTAAAATTCTAAGAAGAATTATTGGTCTTGACCTGTGATCTTGATTTCAGTCACTTTCCCATCGCTGTAAAGTAGCTTAACTTTTCTGTAAATATTT